TTTTGGTTATTTTTTAAAGTTTCTGAAAAACTGGTTTTCTAGAAAACTGGGTCTTCAAGAGACACTGGGAAAAATGCTTTATGCCACTAGAATCAGCTCGTCGAGCTCTATCGATTGGGATACCTCTCGTTAGTATCTATGATTAACACTTGGGATAGTTCCCTCGTGAGACGTCAGAGCTCTGGGCGCCTCGCCATTCGAAAATTATGAGAGAAACAAACTGTAAAAAACCGTGACGGAATTTCACTCCAATAGCAGAGTTAACTAGCCTAACCAATCAGTAACTGCGAGAGCTAATGGAGAATTGAGATTTTTAACTATGTGTAAGTTTTTTAAAAAGCTGACTCACAGAAGCATTAGTAGACGATAGTCCATATGAGTAATCAGTAAACAATGTGCAGTGGAAGGCGGTGTAGTCAAATCACCCCACGTGTAAATATTTACAAAAATATTGTATTTGCAACCTTTTACTAGAAAAATAAAAGAATAGGAAACATACATAATAATTTTAAATACTTTTAACGAGAATGTTTGTTTTAGTGTAGTTCAAGTCAGACTTTTCTAATATACCACGCACGCTATTTTAAGCACATATCAGAAAAATAATTCTAGATGTGTCATCTAGATACAACATTTGCATATTTGAAATCATCTTTTTTTTTCTATCAAGTTTTTGTAATCCGGGAATAAGAGAGAACGTGCGGCTGCCTTCAAAGAGAAAATATCCGAAAATAAGAATGTTTTATAAGAAATACCAAGAAATCTCATTACGTTGATGAATCAGTTTGCATTGGCGGCAACAATGTGTCTAGTTGTGTAGGCAAAGACGTTGAATGTACGCGTTTTTTATAAAGACGAACACGATTTGTTGTTTGTACCGATTTCTGTACGGTTGCAGGACGTAACTAGGACGAAACTAAATGAGAGGTTTGAGTTGCTTTATCGCCGTCAGTAATAGAATTTGTCAATGGTGAAAATGCCATTCCATTACTGTTAATATTTTTTACTATTCGAATTATTTTCTAGTGCTGACAAAACATACGGATTGATTGTGACAGTGGCCGCCGATATTGTAGACGGAATTTTGATGGCTAAACTATGAGTTAATGGAGCCCGTTTTAAAAGCTCATTGGGTATGGATCTATCGGCTAACTGCTGCCATAAACGTTAATTTGATTTTGAAAGTTTACGTGACTTTTTTGATTCGATTTGATTTATCCTATTAGGATGAAGTAATGAAAATACTGGATCATGTTTATTTACTTCTGATTTTTCGATAATGACGATGAAGAACTTGGTGATTGTCTTTGAATATTACATGCACTCGTTGTTGATGGCTCATCGTCCGAAATATATACACTAAAATAAAGTTATTTTTTATTGTTTTCTGATCACAGAAATATTCTAACATTTCGTAATAAATAGAAGAAAGGAAGCTATGATAAGACTAATTAGTGTGAACAGTAAACGTACCTGAGAGGAGCAATTTCCATTTCATTAACAGAAGGCTGATTTTTTCTACTCTTTTTGTGTTTAGACGTCTTTTCAATATATTGATGTTTAGCCAAAATATGACGACGTAAAGTTGTTCTATTTTGAAAACAGTCATTACACTGTGTACATTTGAACGGATTATCAATGCCACAGCTAAATACGATAAATTTTTAAAATGAATATCTATAGAGAACTTAAATACGAACCTTCGACTATGCTCTTTCAAATCTTGATGAAGCGAAAACATTTTCGAACATTTTTCACATTTGTATGTTTTTTTACCGTGAGTGCGAAGATAATGCTAAACAGGTAGTTTACATTTATTTATTATTTTTTTTGAGATATTAATATGAAATTTCGATCTCACCAGACGCAAACTGTTGAACGACATGAACGTCGTTGGTTTTTGTTTTATATTTTCCCATCGACAATAAAATATACATTGTTCCACGGGACAATGATACAAAGAAGAGGTACGAATGTATCGATTCGGTGTCTATGAAAAAAAAGTATATCTTTCGTATTATTCATTTCAAGAATACAAACAATCTATATATCTTTGTTGATATTCATACATGTACAATTTTGGTTGTATCCCCTCCAGATTAAGGTCACGATACGTCAATGCAATTGTTACAGCCACTGCCACCGATAACACCCGTGTTATAGCCATAAAAATGCAGATTATCACATTTCTATTTACGTCAACCATTATCGTAGAAAAATTTACTAAAATACTAGAAAAATCTAAAATTTGTTAATTTTTGTTTGATTATGCATAAAATTTATTTTTGTTATAACTTTGCACAGACAGAAACCCGTTTGAATCAAAAAAGTTTGCGTGATAATGCTGATCTTGAGGCTGAACTTTATGACTTTTTATATTCATAGTTTTATTCATATTTATATTTTTGACCTTGATGTTTATAAATAACTTCCACAGTATCGGAAAATCTAATCGCTTGAATAACTCAGACACTATACATCCGTCCTAGCATAGGCATGCACCAATACTAGAGAGATGGTTATATAAGCTTCGCTATAAGTTGTTAATAGCAAAAAAGTGATCTTCACAGCCATCCCTACCTTCGGACTTAGGAAAATATTTCACGTTACATTGCTCAAAAATTGTCCAATGCTCAGCTCGAGAAGGTACAAAAAAATCCAATTCCTTTTCTAGAAATTTATAATGACAAAATAAGTATTCATCTGAAAAATTGTGTCTGTGGTTGTCCCTTTTTTTACTGAGAAACTGATTTTACTGAACTTTTCTGATTGGTTGACGGAACAATGAGTCATAACTGTGAAAATCAACATAATCAAAGAGGCAAAAGAATCGGATAATGGCACAAATGAAAAAAAAGCATGCAGCCTCACGTTTCCTTGACGATCTCGCTCCTTCGCTTTGCCAGCCAGGTCTGTCTAAGGCTATGTTCACACTACGAGTTAAGCAGCTTAATTTTTTCGGCTTAAGGATTCTGATTGGTGTCTTAACTTTTTCTTCGTAAAGGCACCAATCAGAATCCTTAAGCCGAAAAAATTAAGCTGCTTAACTCGTAGTGTGAACATAGCCAAAAGCACAGTCACGTTTTCCGACGTCTGAAATTGACAGATATAAAGAAAATTTCAGAGTTTGGGACGACCTTGGGCTGTTTTTGTTTATCATGTACTTTACACAGAGGAGATGCTCTGGCCAACTAATTTCTCAGTCTTTTAAAGGCGTTTTAGCTATTTTTGCTGTATTTCTTGTAGATTTCACTTGAAAATCGGTCATGTTGAGAGTTGTCTATGATAAAAAGATAAAATCCAGGGGTAAACTGAATAATTTTTTCTAGTTGTGGCAATAACAATCACTTTGTTTCTCTCTTTTAGGTGATCTGGTTCGGTACGTCGAAGAAGAAGCAGTTCGAGTTAAAAATGGTCTAATTATATACCAGCCGCAGAAAGTTTACAAGAAAACCTGCTGAAATTCGTTCAGAAAGGTACGTTTTGGCTTCTTTGACGCGGAAATGCTTATTCCATGTCGAATCTTTATTTTCTAGGTATTGAAGGCAATGACAAATCAGCAAAATATTATCCAGATTCAGTAAATTCAACCAGAAAATTCAGATTAGAACGCGATGCATCAGGAACAAGCCAGTTACGTGTTAAATTATTTCCACCAAAAGCTCGTTCAAATCAAAAAGAATCGAAATCAGCACAAGAACCACGTACGTTTGCGAAAGAAAGCTCTAATTTTACTGATCTATTTGCTTCTTTTATTTTTAGGTGATGTGATATTATTGGA